CGTCCATAAAAATTCCAGAAAGAAGGGGCATTGGCTCTTTTATAAGTAGTATAGATTATATTTTGTTTATTTATTTATAAATATTTTGTTAAGACACATGTACTCTTCCACTTTCGATGACCTTCATTCTTGAGTTCGAATCACGTGGGAGTCTACGTATTATTAAACTAGAGTTCAATATGTTTTCATATCGATATATATTGGTCGATACCATACGATACACACCGATACGATGACGAATTGATACACACAACTGAAAGAATATATCTCTATTTGTAGCGTATTGTATCCTATATCGATATGGTCCTATACCGATACGATACACCTTATATCTGACATATTGTATCGGTACTTTAATCCTTGATTACAATGTACAATCAGGATATAAATACCTGATAAAACAACTACCATCTACTTTAGGTCCAAGAGATTGTTGGAGCCTAATATGAAACGCCAGAGTCCCTTTTTGGTTCCAATTATTCATGTGGAAGGCTTGGTGGGAGGGGGTGAAGACAAGATAAATTACACTTCCTACACGATACAGAAAAACTTTGCTCCTTTTGTAACAAGGAGCAAGAGAATCGGCAACACCTACTCTTTTAATGTCATCATGCAATGGGAGTCTAGGTAACAGCCCAAACAGGAATTAATCCAAATGAACTACAAACTTTGAGACAATCCTTCTACATAGCCAAAATTTTCATACTGTTCTGACTCATTTGGGACATGAGAAATGCAAAAATCCACAACCAACATATACTGGATATTTGGGTCCTGGCCAATGCTAGAAAGAGCCAATTCATTTACTTATCCCATAACATGTGCCTTTCAAACTGAACAACTTTTAACAGTGTGCCACCCACAAACGCCAAAGATACTTGTTTGTGCAGATGGCTCTTTTAATCCTTTAACAGACGTTGCAGGTAGAGGTTTCATTGTTTTAACATATGATCAGTCTATCTTGTGGACAGAAAGTAGAAGCATCAGGGCTTTCTGGTGTAGTTTAGAAACATGCGAAAAATTATCTTGGTAAATACGAATTAAGATGGATTGTCGAAAGCCAACTTAGTAAATGTTTACTCAATTGGGTTGATTCCCGCACTGCATCACTTTCTTTAGTTGCCAAATAGAATGGTGAGCAGTGGCTCATGGCCTTACAAATGCTCAATCATGGAAAGAATACTATGTGACTCTCTTTTTTGATCCTCTAAGCATTTTAAATAGTGCCTATTATGAAGAGGATAGCGAGGACTGGCAAGTGAAACATCTTACGGAGTCTGTCTGGAACCTAGTTTGGCATTTGATGATGATATATTTTAAATTAATGTTTTTCAAAAATCAGTTAAGTTTGTTATTTGGTATCATTTCTGCCATGTAAGCCGATTTTTGAGAAATCAGCTTTGACTTTGTTTACTATTAATTCTCAATGGCCGATTATTTTTCTATTAGAGTTATTATTAAATGCCATATTGGATGCCATGCCATCCTCAAAAAAATCGAAATCAGGAATTACCAAAAAAAAAGTGATCCTTGAAGAGGACTGATTTCAAGAATCGATTTTTGGCTGATTTCTCAAAAATCAACAAAATTAGCCAATCAAACTGAAATTTCAACACCAATTCCTCTAAGGCTGACATGGCTCTAACATGGCAATGATTTTCAAGAAACCATCAACGATGCAAACATCACCCAAGTCTTTTGGATAATGTATGTATAAAACATATAAGCAGATGAGGTAATTTAATTGCCCATAACCTAACATATAATGCTTGTAAATATAACTTAACAATACAAACAAGAGGGCAGTATATCATCCTCCTATATGATTTTGGATATATTAGTTAATGAATCGCTTCCTTCTGTAAAAAATAAAAAATAAAAAATAAAACTCATACTTGGGTGCCAATTGTAATATAATTGTAGTGTTCTTTGCTCATCGTGACCCCCTCAAATAGTTTTCTATGCATTTTTTAAAGATAAAAGTAATCAAAAGATATTAAATGTCTATTTGATTCATGGGAATAGGGGCCTAGAATTGGAACCGTTTGATTGGGCAGAATTAGAATTCAATTCCTATTCTTGGTGGAATCACGTTTGAGGGAATGGCCATTCCGTCCTCATCCCTTGGGAATGAGATCGCATTCCATCTGATTCCAATTCCGGTTCTGATTCTAGCTATGAACCAAGCAGACCCTAAATACAAAACTAATAAAGATTAGATGTCTAATAATATTCAAAACAAATAAATCAGTTTATTTGGATGGCTCATCCCTAACCAAAACATTCTATGCATTAGATTAGAAAATGCTAATTTAAAGTATTAATTCTCTCTAAATTTAATTTTATATTAATCCAATATTTTATGCATTTGACTAGAAAATTAATTTAATAAAAATAAATATAATGATTAAGAAAAAAATATTTGTAATATCTACAAAAAGGTTTTGACAATGGTATTGGAAAACATGATACTAGAAAAAGGTTATTAATCAATCAACCAACATCCGATAGCCAATCAAGTGGTATTCATCAAAATTAATTGGATGTTTGGTCAAAGTTCTCTTGGTGTCATACGTTTCCTGCAAAAAAGTATAAATTATTGAAGAGGTATTTTTCAAATTCTATAATTACAACCCCTTTGCCCAAATGCAACCATCTAGGTCTATGATGTCATAAATCATGCAATAAAAATATAAAAATGCAAAAAAAAATTATAAAATAAAAAAAAATAAATTATCTTATTTTGTTATTATATATATATATATATATATATATATATATATATATATATTCATCATATTAAACAACTATAACAAATAAGGTCTATTATTTTTATTAAAAAAGGAATTTAATATCTGACCTATGACCCACAAGAAGGGCTAGATTTGATTAGGGCTATACTAAAATGGATTGGATACGAATCTTATCTATAGATCCACTCAAATCCAAATCTAGATTCAATAAGGCAAGACAAGGACTAAAAGCACAAAACCTTTAGATTCGGGCTCAGATTTTGTCTGATGTCACAAGTATTAACTACTTTATTGTCCCTATGATTCTTCTAAATTTTGCATTTTTTATGTTTAAAGTATAAAGAAAATATCAAATATGAGGTTAATTACATCTTTAAGAACCATTTCAATGGTTCTTCTTATCTGGATGGTGATACTGAATCTAACTGTTATAGGGCATTTTGACCAATTACTCCTACCAGATATTAAAAAGACTTCGAGAGTTTATCAATTGACGAATTCCGTGATGTTTGTAAAATAAAAATATTCTTTTTTTATTATTCTTTTTCTTTATTAAGTATGCTAGTTTAACTTTCAACCTACGCGGTTAGAACCTAGAAGTTAGAAGTAGAGGTGCTACGTCATACAAGACAAGCTAATTGAAGATTCTCACACTGAAGTTAGAAGTAGAGGTGCTATCCCGTGCACTGGGAACATAACGCCATGTAATGGCCTAAAATGTTCTTCATGTATGGTTGAGATCTTATGTGGATAGATAGATGTAGGTAGAATTGTCGTGGGTAGAAGATCCGCAAAAATCAACGTGGCAAATTGGTTTGGATTAAATTTGGCTATTTTTTGGCCCAAACCCGTTCCATGTAGTCAAAATAAAATCCCTCTAATTGAAACTTTCAAACAGCAAAATGAGTTTAGCAAAGATGACCCCATCTTCATGATAAATACACGTGGCAAAAAAAATACACCAATTGCTAAATACGTAGGAATGTCAGTGGGTCAGGTTAAATGATAAATCCAGTTTGACCCGATCCTATATGTCAGGTTAGGGTAAGATATATTCAGCTTTAGGGTTTTCATTCTTTGATGTTTGATCCAAATTGAATTTGGGTTTTGGCCAATCTGCCCCACCAGGTTATGATACAGGTATTCTTATAACTTTTTTACTTCTAAATCCATAGCCTTAAAGATTAAGATTTCTTTACATTTTGATTTTGGCCTTTTTTTTTAATAGAAAAAGTGATATCTTAAAATCTATAAAACAAATTCCTAGCTTAAATTAATGACTTTTAAGTTTTGAAAATATGTTAAAAAATACAATTAAAATTTTGAAACGGGTCAGGTTTGTATCGGGTTAGACCCTATATGATCAGGTAAGGTTCAAAAATACTATATTTTTTAGTTAGGCCAGGTTTAGTTGGTACACTGGAAAGTCGGGTTAGAGTTGAGGCGAACCCGTGCTGACATTGACATCTAAACACCCTTTGAAAGCCCTGGAAATTTTGCTCTCCCTGCTGCTAACCAAAAATCCTTCCAAATTCCAATGCCAGCTAGCCCCAAGTCCCCTGCTGAACCTAAATGATTCCATCAAATTGAGGCTTAACTCCCATCCTTTCGATTGGAAGGAAGGACAGCCTACTGGACAAAGGAATGAAAATTTCACATCTGCTACAACCATGCTTGGTACAAAAGAAAGTGCATCTCTCTTGAGTAAATGCTGGAGATTGCTCATTAGTGATTATGAACTATTTTTGTTTGGGTAATGCAAGTAAACAACTCTTTATACAACTCTCTGAATTCTTTCACCCTACAGAAAAGATGCCATGCATGACCCATGAAAAGATATGTCTAGTTTGGATGCTCCCCACCTTTTATGTAGGACTAAGAATTCAGGAGGCGCACCTAAGCATTGTTGACTAGCATTCCTCCTTCCCTTGTACAGAAAAAATAGAGCTTAATCCATAATGACAAGAACAACATCGAAGCTGGATAATGCCCATATCAGATAACATGAAGTAGGTATAAGAACTCAAGATCATGCTTTTAATGTAATGCCACTTTGACCATAGTTCCCCCATAGACGCTTTAACACCCTGGTCACTAGATTATGATCATCACAATAATACTCTCAGATCTATGAAGAGCCAATGACTTTCCTAGTAGAATATATTCGAGTGTCAAGATGCAAATCTAAAGAGAAAATTTGCACAAGGATTGTCCAGAAAGGAGGTTTAGGTAAATTGAAAAGGGAGGGGGAATAAGAACCAAAACACTATAATACATTCATAAAACATGTGTATATCGCATAAGAGTGTAATTTTACAAAAAACCAGTAGCCAATAGTGGAAGACAACCCAGACACTCTACATCCTAAACAAATGACCTGCTATAACATGGGCAAAACACCTGCCAAAGCACTCATGACTCACCCCCGCTTATTCAACATCAAAGTTTCATCCTGGTGTAAAAAGCCAGAAAAACCAATAGGTATGCATAAATATTATGCCTCAATAATCTACAACCGCTGAACAAGCACTCAAAATGATCTCTGACCACCAGGTTTAGATGACGATGAAGACTTGGCCTTTGCAAAATCAACCAGGTCCTTGAAGAGGGCATCCTCTGGTTTAACTTGTTTTGTTTCTATCAATGGATCCCGAATGTTGGTCTTTCCTTGACTAAGAGAGAGATTCTGGGTCTGTCCTGCTAAGCCATCATATGAGAATCCTGATCCACCACTAGCATTGGAAGCACCATTGGTCAGAGTTTGTTCAAAGAACTGTTGTCGTTGATTATATTTGGAAGGTGGGGGTGGTAAATAGCTAGAAGATTGGATGTCCCAAGGTGCCAAAGAGGGGAGATGCTCAGCAGATTTTGAACTTCGTACAGGTTCATCATATTTGGGCTGCTCTGTGAAAATGGACGATGATGTTGATTCCTTCACTTGAGATGGAATGGATGAGAAAGAGTATGTTGGAACTGATGGTGAAGTGGGGTTTGTGTAGTTTGAATGAACTGCAGGGGATGTTTTCTCTGGTAGTTCAGAGGCTCTTTGAGATCCATAGACATCACCACTTAGATAATCAATCATGCCAGCATCTGCACTGACCGGTTTCTTGGATGAAGGTGGCGGAGGAAGAAGTGGACTAACAGGCATCTGGTCCTTCTTAGCATCGACAGGCATCCTAGCCTGCGTAAGCTCATTATCTCTTGAAGACCTGCAATAACATGATTATTACTATCTAGCATGAGTTTATAAAAAAGTCGCGCAACATATCGGAGCAATAAGCTGTTTGCTGAATAGAATAGAATTCAAAGATCAAACTTTTCAGCGAAGGACTAGCATGGCATGTACTACAGGCACACACTTTACTAACAGAGAAAAGAACCATATCACTTATTTTTGGTATTAAAGACAGGTGAAGTCAACCGAAGTTTGAAGTCAATACTGATGCATCTGCAACCTCAATTATGTGTTTCTCATATAACTTGCTATCCACCTGGATAGACCAGTTGGGTGATAGATTTTTAAGCATGTGTTCTATATGAAAATAGGCCTACCTAAGGGACAAAGTGACTGTTGTTCCCACCCATGAGTATTTTAGACCACCTCATAAGGCAACACTTTTTTTGGGTTAATTTGGAATTCACCCACATACGGAATACTACAAATCTTCAAATTAATAGTGAAACTTCAACTTTTCTCTGGTAAAGAGACTGAAGAAAAATCCTTTGCGTCCTTATTCTTAGTTTTTCTTTTTTTTCAAAAAAGTAAATAAAAGAACAACGGAAGAAAGAAAAAGCATACAAGTAGATAAAAAAGAAGATTAAGCCTCAAAAGTCAAGACAGGAAGAAAAAACAATATTATCAGAGATTGATCAGTAAAGAAAGACCTGAATCAGGATCCTATTGCTAAAAATTCTAGTACACATCCAGGGTCTCAAGCAAGATCCATCAGCTAGGAGAGAATAATGACAGGAGAGAACCGTAAGCTTGTTAAGTATTATGGTCCCTAAAGGTTTATTAAAAAAACACTAGACTTGATACGTTCCATCAGTCTAGTGGCTTGTACCTTTGTACATAAAGTTTAACAGAATCTATCCTTGCATCACTCTGGTTCAAATCATTGAAAGAGCTACTTGGAGCGAAGCGAGAACCATCATGGAAGGGGCTTGAGTAACAGAATCAAATTAACATTGTAACATCAGAAAATCTAGAATTACAGAAGATAGATATAGGTCTTGTGATCATTCTATAATTTGTTTTCGTTCATGGTGAGACTATGTCTTAATAAAGGATTAACTAATAATTTCATAAAGATGATATTTTCAGTGAACCTACCAGCTAAAACAATTGTCAAATTTTTTCTAGGATTATGACACATCAATTTCCCAGAAGATTTTCTAATGGATAACGTGTTAGACTAGTACTAATTGTGGGAAAAAAAGAAAGATGTACAAAAGTATGTCTAGAACCCCTAAATTTCAGGCCAGCCCCTACTTCCCAGACCACTAATCATCTTTTACATGCCCAAATCATGCAAGTCCCAGGGCATTCCCGCAAATATTACTGTTATTTTTGTACTCCCTGTTAGCTAGCACAATCAGCTACACTATTTGCTAAATGACAAACCCAGGAAAACATAATTCTTCATTGCCTTGTCAGATAACTTATTTCTCGTATGTTATGCCTGTTGTTATGAAACCACCTCTAGTTACTTTTTAAGTCACCTTCTACCAAGGCCCTAGACCGTTTTTATGAAACTACCTCTAGCTACTTCGATACTTTCTGAGTCACCTTCTACCATCGGACTATCATAGTTGAGAGATATCAATTTCAATCCTTCTAATTTCATTACTTCAGCCCTTAATGAATTACCAACAGTTAGGCTGGCTCCATTACGACCTATGTGACCAGGGTTCAAAACTTGGAAAGAGCATCTCTGTATGTGCAGGGGTAAAGCTGTGTACATCTGTCCCTCCCCAGACCCTGCATTGGCAAGAGCCTCATGAACTGAGCTGCCCTAACACCAAATTGATGAACCCATGAAAATATTATTTGTGATTGCTCACCCAGTTCTTTTATTTATCTTATGAAATGTTTGTATTGCAATGGCCCTAGACTGTTGTTAGTGAACCACCCCTAACTACTTTTGGGTCATCTTCTACCAGAAGATTATCATAATTGAGAGATCTTCCCAGCTTCATTCTTTAAAAATGTCGTTACTTGAGCCCTTATTGAATTACCAATTCTCATGGGTCTAGAGAAAATGGCTATTATTTTTTCCATCACAGTTCCTAAAAGCTACCCTAACACCCAAGGCATCTAGATTTCCCATGCAAAATCCATCAAAATTCAGCTTAATAATATCATTGGGAAAGAGGACCAAACCATGGGTAGTATATTCCTCTTGGCACTTGTTGTGGATGAGGCTGGATATATGTCACCATTCTCTAATGATGTCATCTTAAACAAAGCAAAGATATTCAGTGTCATCACCCAATGGGCCACTTTAACACAACCAATGCTTCTTTCATTTGGATGCTCTCTTTGAATATCCTTGCATTTCTTACTTTCCGAACTGTCCACAGGACTGCTTTCTTGTGCATCTCCATATAATTTTCTCTCCTATTTGATGGAGAGAAAAAAAAAGGTAAAAAAAAAGTACTTCTCAATTTCAATTTACCAAAAGTTTAGAATAAGAAGCTTCTTCTGACAATTATACTGTGACCTTTTTAGAACCCTTGGGAATCCACTAAATATGTGATACAAGTATAAAATAGACAGCTTAGAAAATAGAAATTTTTTATTTAATAATCAAAATAACCTATCTATTGTAGAATTGACTTGAGTTTGCTATGTGATGTGACAAAAAAAGCAGTTACAAGACAAACATGCACACACAAATATGAAAAATGTTTCTCAGTCAGGTCAATATGTTTCTTTTCTACAGTAACAACATCCTATGTTTGCCATGAAGAGAGAGGATAGGGCATGCATTCATGTATTCGACACAAATGCATACGTAGAAATATTACATTGAATACAGATGCTGAGAAAGGTTTCTAGATGAGGTCATTTGGGTTTCTCGCAACATAGCCAACCCTATTTCTGACACATCAAGGGATGTTAAGGGATGATGGGTCAATTAGGACTGCCCATTCAATAAGGTACCCTCTGGATTGGATACATGTTCACTCTCTCAGGCCAATGGCAGCACTATATTCCATCATCCATTGGAGTTCTTGCAGGTAATATTAACCAAAATTTTAAATTTTCTAATAACATAAACGAAAAAAACAACAGAATTGCTTAGTTTGGAACATGGCAGAGTCTCTTGGACTGGAACTTGCTGCAATTACATGTTAAAGGGAAAAAATGCAGGAAAACAAAAAGTTGTGAGCCTATGCAACATTTTACCCTGATCATTTTCTACATTAATAAAACAACTACCAATCACTCATCAAAAAAGGGGATAAAACACAGAACCCTTTTAGAGCCTACAATTATAGAGCTATATGGTACCTGTGTTATTTAGGGGGTGTTCTGTACTGTGGCCACAAAAAGTGTGGTGTGTTCCAGGCTACCGTACCCCACTGTTGTGTCTTTGAAATGACAGGTTTTTGGAGCTCACCAAACTTTTGGTAATGATCTATACTGTGGTGGTGTGGTGTGTTCTAAGGCATTGGGACGTAAAATATAAATATTTTTGTCAAAATATACCTAATCAATGTTTATTGAATGCCCCAAAGTGTGGTGTGCTCTGGAACATGAGATTTTGGTATTCCCAAATCTGTGATATTTTGTGTTCCAGAACGAAACTCATCCAGTTCCAGAACACCCATGGCTTAAAAGAAAGTGTGCCATGCTGCATTTCAGAACCAAATGAAATGGTATGTGGCCACAGTAACAAACACCACCTTAGGCTATGTATTTGTGTGTGTGATTGTTTATACTAGACAGAAAATGGAAACCTCAAAGTAGCACCTGTGAGCTAGCTGGGTAAAATCATCTTCTGACTCATCGTCATCATGGTTGACATTCAAAAATGGTGCAACTGAATTGTCTGTAGTTCCTACCCAACCAGTAGGTTTTCCTTTCACTATGTCATCATGTCGGCAAAGCACACGTTGTAGGTCATCATTTAATGTCAACCCTTGACACAGAAGCTCCTCATCCCTGCAAGATAAACAACCAGAATTGTCACTTCAAAAAAAATTCAAGTAAACAAATTAAAATTTTCAGGCATTGGCATACGTTGTATTGTTAACAAGAATCATGACACGCTTTTGGTAAGAACGGCACTGGTCAACAAGGTCAACAATTACTTCTTGTTTCACCCCCTGCCAGAAGAGATGGACAATTAGAAGAAGCCTGTAGAACTGATTCAATGAAATGCAGTAATGAATTCAACCATTCGATACTATCTTTGTCATTACCTATGAATCTACAAATATATCTCAGGTTCCAGTGAGATGAAGGTTCCACCAAGTCTATCACATGCTAGAGATAATTTTAACTGGAAACCACATCCTTGAGAACTTTTCAAACTCGCAATCTTCACTCAATGGTTTCTCCATTGTCCCATAAAAAAAATGCACTAATTGCATACTGGAAAGATTTTTAGAGCAATTCTAAACAGCATTCAAATGGATTTCAATTTCTACAACAGTATTTCAAATCCAAGATCCAGAGACCAAACTTTAAGTATTGTATTCACCAAGAAATTCCCCAAGTTACCATCACAGCAAAGCTTACAGTAGTAGATGGCAAAAATTTTCAAAGAAAAAAATAAGAATAAGAAAACTAAAATCCATCTCCTAGTATAGTGAAAAGATTAACTAAAGCAGGAAGTGGAGAAGGCAGAATAATCAAGCAAGATCTTCTCCACTCTATAAAGCAATCTGAAAGATGAAATTACCTCAGGATTATGAGGATCCAATGCACCAAGCATTTCCATTAGTACATCTGCTAGGCCACATGCATTTTGAATTTCTAGCAGGCTATAAAAAAAGGCAGTTTTTAGAATATGATCCCACAGTAAACATAATGTAAAGCAACATAGTTAACTGAGCCAAAACATTTCACAAGTAGGTGAATTAATATATTAATCCCAATCTCCCAGATTTCATTTGCCATATCACCATCTACATTCTACAGTATGAAATATAAGTCCAAAAGCAAAGTTCAAGTTAAATGTCTCCTTAATACAGATAAGTGATGCATAGACAAATAAGGACAAAGAATACATGTTATTCTTAAATACTGAGCAATCCCTTTATTTTTGTTTTCTCTTTTCTTTTTTTTTTGGGTGGGGGGTGTAAAATCTAGCAGAAGGACTTAGGCATGTTTAAGTTAGTCAATGGTCAGTTTGACTTGACTTATTTTTTACCCTACATTTAACCTAGGTATTACAGTTCAACCAAGGATGACGAACAGAAACAATTTAACATTTTCTAAGTTTAGTCATGTATCATGAGGTAGCCAACGGTGTAAATCAAAAGGAATTAGTATAAAACTGGCAAGACTAAAGAAAGTCCAATAATGTTCATTAAGATTCTTTCTTTTTATTTCAGTTTGTAGATGGATCAAGATTATGAGAAGTATAAAGGAAATTAATAGTTCTAGCCAAACATTGTGATGGTATAGATAATTAAGGATAAAGAAGACATGTAAGAAACAAATATGAAGCTTTTCTTTTCCTTTTTTCTTGGGGTGTCTGAAATATAGTAGCAAGATTTAGGCATGGTTAAGTTATTTAACACTCAAAAGTTGACTTGCTATAATTCTTCACCCACATTTTAAATTAGGTGTCAAAGTTATACCAAGGAAAATGAACAGTGATAGCTTAACATCTTCATAGAAGTCTAATCTTGTGTGTTCTGAGATGAACAAACCATAGCTGTCAAGGCGACACCTGGGCGACAAGACACCCTTGGAGGCTCGCCTCACGCAATCGCCAAGCAGTATTGTACTTTCTATTACTATTTTATTCTTTATTTCGAGATTATAATTATAAATAGGCATTATTAAACTAAAATATTCATTTTGTGTGCTTATATACTAATTTCTTTTTATTATTTTCTTATTTGTTAGGTTTGATCAACACAAACATTGCTAAATGCTGTATTGAACCCTCAAAGATTTCAAAACCTGAACCAATAAGGTATAACTTAAAATTTTGTCTAATCAACACATTTTCTTCTTCTTCTTTTCTTTTCTCCTACTTTTTCTTCCACATCTTCCATGCCTTCTACTAACAAAAATAAGGGTTCAGCCGCTATATTTTTTCAATTTTCTTTTCTTTCTTCTTTTTCTTCTCATGAATATGTTGATTTTCTATACTTGAACATGAACTTTATACGTTTCTTATGAAAATTATGAATAATTATTAAGGAAATATGGTTATGGTACCTAGGGAACTACCCTGGGATCTATGTTTTTTACATAAAAAAATCCATCTCCTAGGCAATGCCTAGGCGACTAGGCAACAAGGCGCCCCCCCTGTCACCTAGCTTTGCCTTGGCGCCTTGAAAACTATGGAACAAACAGATAAAAGCCATCAGTATCAACAAAAGAATATTATTACAAAGGTGACAAGACTAAGGAGTCCATTAACATTCATACAAAAGGTTCTCTTTTTTCTTTCAGCTTGTAGATCAATCATGATTATGAGAAATTTGATAGACATGAATAATTGTAGTCCAACATTGTGATTCTCTTTATTCCCTTTTTCAGGAACTAACAGTAATTATCTGAAAAGGTCCTCTATACATGAGGGGATTCATGTACTGTTAAACTATCTTACAAGGTGTTTAGCTAAATAACATAGAAATATGTGATAATTGTATAAGCCTTTCATGATTAATTGAGAAACTAATAGAAATTCATGCTCATCAGGGGTATATAGGTTGGTTTCTTAAGAAGCTCATTGAGGTTGATGTATTATGTTTTAGTGAGTAAAAGATTATGGTAAGGTTTTTTTTAACAGCTGCAGAAATGTGATTTCCAATAACTATAAAGAGGTGTATGGGATCCCCTAATTGAGACGACGCTATTGGGAACCCCTTACATCTGGGTGCATGCAGACTGCAAGGTTCCCAGGCACAGAGCCCAGGCATGATGCATGGATTCACATGGACCTCAATACACGTTTTCTCGGTAATTCATATCCTTGATACATGCTAACTAAAGTTCAAATCATTTTGACCTCCTAGTCCAATGGTGAAATCAAGAATATAATGAAGGTTGAGATAAGGTAGATGATCATCAAGTCAAGAGAATAAAATATCTTACTTAAGGAAATAAAATAGGGGCCATTACTTGGTGTAATGGTAAAATCTTGGGCTGTCAAGAGTAAGAACATGGGTTCAAGCCTGAGAGTAGCCGCTTTGTGCAAAAGAATGCTAAAGGTTAGGACCGTATCCATCCCACCCCTCCCAAGACCCCAGATGGCTGGGACCAACATTGAGTAATGGCCATTCAATGTTTAATGCATCAATCTCAGAGCAAAAATGCAGTAGAAGGGAATAGTAAAAGAAGAAACTTCATGAATTTAGCACAAAGAAATTGTCTGTTCTAGGTGCAGTGGCAAGGGTGAAATAGAATAGGACTTAAGATACAGAGCAGTACCTGAGACCAGAAGCATCAGATGGAAGAGATACCTCTACAGCTGCTTCTTCATACACTGGGGCTGAATGAAGTATTGGCTGGCTTTGAGGTGGAGTGAACAAGGGTACACTGTTCTCCTCTCGAGGTGGAAATTCAACTCCAGCAGACTGTCAATTATTAATAAACTTGGCTTGATGTTCAATGAAATATGATGAAAAGAAAATTAAGAAATAAGCTTTTACACACTGAAAGCAGATAAGAATTGGAAATTAATGATACTGGCTATGAAGAAAAGAGCACACCATATGTGAAAAATGGAATTCATGGCAGAATGGAAGCCATTTAAATATGTGTTTTTAACTTCATATTATTAAATACAAAGAAAGCAAGTAGACACATCAGTTTAAAATTTCAGTAACAATTCACATGTGCAAAAATAGGTAAAAATTAGATACAACCAGCTGAGCATACATTAGGTAAATATCTTTCACTACCATTTTGGCGATGGAAGTGACACAAGAAACATTAAAAAAAGAGCAGTGGACAAAGCAAGAAATACATGTGCATGCATTCATATAAGAATGCAAACCAATGAATATATCAAACGCTGAAATAACATAAATGGCATGAAATAGTTAAACATAATAATCATTCAACAAAATGAACAAGATATAAGTATTGACAAAAAAAATAGAAGTATGCAGAAGGCATAAAAACTGAAGCAAGGAGACAGATTATCCCTTTAGAATTTTCCCTAAAAAATTGCATGGCCAAAAGGCACAATTAAAGTTAATGCTTCTCAACCCAAGGATTTTAGACCAACTAATTTGGTTAGTGAACTCTACAAGATTATTGCTAACATGCTTTCCCTTAGGATTAGGAAGTAACATCCCAGTCTCTTGGAGCTTTTATACAGAATAGATTGATAATAGATCAAATCCTTATAGCCAATGAATGTGTTCAAGAGACTAGGAGAGTGAGGAAGAAGGGATGGTCTGTGAATTGGATCCAGATAAAAGCTAATAACAAGGTGGACAGGTCATTTTTGGAAATGTTTACGGAGAAAACAAGCTCTGGGCCCAACTGGAGGAAATGGATCATGGGATGCCTACATTTGAGTCACTACTCCATTTTGATGGTCAGAAAAGGATTTCTTTTCAGCCAAAAGAGGTCTCAGGCAAGGTGACCCTTTATCCTCATTCTTGTTCATCATAGTAGATGATGTTCTTGGTCATTTAATCTCTAAAGTTGACACTTGGGCTTGCTAAGGCCATGAGGGTAGGACTGTAATCAGATCGATTTGGAATCCAAATCTGACCTGAGTTCGATATTACGGATTTTGGATCAGATTCAGATTTAATTTGATCCTGCTCTAAAAATATAAATTAAAAGGAGATAATGCTGACTGAGCTCCGAACTAAGAAGACCCTAGAGACAAGCATCACCCATCAGAAATTCAGAACAGAACAAAATCAAATGAATACATGGACTGACACAAATAATTTTGAGGGAAATCATTAGATACATATATCTGACCCTGCTTTATTGTCACTAAAATATAGAAAAATAAAAAAACAATTAATTATTTTTACCTTATACATACATAAAAATGATTATAGATATAGCATATTATGTATAAAATCTATATAAATATATTTTATAGTACTTATAATCAGACATCCATATCTGAGTAATCAGATCGGATGTCAGATCAGGTGTCGGATTTTCGGAGTCTGCTGACAGCCGTACATGAGGGTAAGGAGAGATGAGGTGGTGGTCTCTAATCTGCAGTTCATGGATGATATTATCATTCTTTACATGGGGAAATTGCAATCCAGAACCTTAAAATTCTTACTCAAAATGCTTTGAAAGGATTTCCAACTTGAGAGTAAATTTGGAGAAAAGTAGCATAGCCAGCATCAATTTGGATAGGGCAGTAGAGAAGGTATATGTTGAAGTTGTGGGGTGTGCAGCTGTGTCCTGGCCTTAGTTCTATCTTTAATCACCCTTAGGTGGCAATCCTAGATCCCTTAGCTTTTGGAACCCAGTCTTGGATGGGTTCTCAGTTCTCTAAAAACTTGCCAAAAGGATTTGCATCTCCTTGGGTAGAAGGATTACATTTATTAAATACACAACTCCACACTTACTAGTGTATTATCTTTCTTTTTTAAAACTTCTGGTCCTAGTGGCTAAGAGGCTAGAGAAGACTATGTGGGATTTCCTTTAGGATCCGGGGGATTCTAAAGGGATCCATTTCAATCTTTTTAGGTTTGGGTGGTTTGGTGAAAAGAAACTCTTCTCTCCACCAGAAGTGGATTACATGGTTCCCATTTGATGCTAATAAGTTGTGGAAAAATGTAATCAAGAATATTCATGGCTTGGTTGTGAATTATTGGAATGTTGGAGTAGTTACAGCAGTACTACCTACTAACAACACCATCGTATCCCCTTGGAAATCTATTCATTCCCTCTATAATTTGTTTTTTCCATTTGTCCAGTATGATGCTTTTTGTGCAGACAAATAAATTTTCAAAGTACCTGTTGGTAGGGAGGGTGTTTTCTGCTTAAATATAAATGTTGTTTTATGTATTCCCTCTCCATTTTATAAACAAATCCATATCCCAGCATGTATCTTTGTTTGAGACAAGACCTTGGAATTTGGGTTGAGAGAAGCTCAAGTGATCCTGAAGTAACTTTAACTCTTGATTTCTTATCACATCTTGAGGAGGTCTTTGTTCGAGACAAGACCTTCTTGGAATTTGGGTTGAGAGAAGCTTAAGAGATCCTGAAGTAACTTTAACTCTTGATTTCTTATCACATCTTGAGGAGGTCTTTTATGATGTAACTTTGGATGATCACAGAATTTGGACCTTGGCGAACTCTGGTTCTTTCACTTTCACATCTTTCTTTTCCACCCTTTCCTCTTCTCCCCTTCCCCATAGGCCTTTTCCTGTGATGACTATTTGGTGCAGGCCAATACCACCCAAGATCAGTGCCTTCTGTTGGGAGATTTTCCATCAAAGGATTAACACTTATGAGGTCCTACAAAAAAAAAAGGAGACCCAGTTGCTCTTGTCTCCCCATATCTGCTTGTTATGTAAAGCAAATGATGAATCTACATATTTTCCCTCTTTGGATGCAGGTGGACAGCCCCATGGGAAGTGGGCAGCTTGTTTATAGATAATTTCTTCTCCCCACTAAAGAAGGATGGAAAATTACTATGTAAATGCACTAGGGCTGTGTTGGAGTCGGCTGTACAAGGGTAGTATAGTCCTTTTATGTTTAGTTATATATGAGTTGTTCAGCTGATGTGGCTGTCACTTAAGCGAGGGCACAATGGTAATTCTTGTATACCTTAGAAGAGTATAAATAAAAGAAGGGCCGACTAGAGGGATTTGGATATTTTTTCTCTCTAGTTCGGTTGTGACCTTTTCTCCTTCTTCTCCTTCTTCTTCTCCTTCTTCTCTCTCTTCTTCTTCTCTTTCTTCTGATCTGAACTTATACAAACATCTAATCTGAGTTTTATCATGGTATCAGATCCAGGTTAATCAGTTCAGATCAGTCGCCTCCTTTTTTTCTCTGTTTTGCGCATTCTTTTCTAGGGTTTTGCAGAATTCTCATTGATAACTAGAGAGTTTTCCAGAAAGAAAAAAAAGGACTGGTCGTTTTCTCCTTCTGGGGGTTTCCATGCCTCCAATGAGTGCAGTTGTTGTGGTTTTGTGTGGTTGGTAGAAAACCCTCTACTCGGCAGTTCGAAGAGGGCTGGTTTTGTGATGGTAACAGTGCAGACTTGGTACCCTCTACTCGACAAGTACATGATCTTCGAACTAAGCTGTGGTATGTAGCAAGTTTTTTTTATATGTTGCAGAACTGAACATCCTATTCGTGAGGTGTGTTGTGAGGGTTTCTAGTGCTGACAGTAGATGGCAACAGTGGTGCTGTTGCTAAAAGTGGTGAAGAGTTGTGAGTGTTGTACCTGATACTAGGAAGCCTAGTGGTGTTCAGTCATTCGTGTGGAGTGTGGTGATTTATTAGGGCAGTAGTAGAGTGACAATCTAGTGGTACAGTTTCCCCTTGTTTCCTTGTGCAGTCATGGGAGACAGCAGTGAATGCAAATCAAGTGTGATGGTGCCTTCTGATTATCTGAATGTGCAGATGACCTCTATAAAACTGAATGGTGAGAATTATGTCCCTTGGGCTAAGTTTGTTGAAGTTTTGCTGAAAGCCAAAAAGAAAGTGAAACATGTGAGGGAAGATAAACCCCCAATTGATTCTCCGAGATATGATGAATGGGAGCAGGAGGATGCTCAAATTATGACTTGGCTATGAAATAGCATGGAGTCCAAAATCGGCGTGAACTTCAAGTTTTTAGATACAGCCAAGGAAGTCTGGGATCATGCAAGGAAACTATATTTAGGACAAGATAACACTACTAGGGTTTATCAACTGTACCAAGAGTACTCATCTATAACAAGGGAATCAAAGTCTTGAAAACTATTATGCCAGTATGAGAAATTTACGAAATGAGTTAAATGTTTATCATCCTCTACACCTGATGTCAAAATTCAGCAACAACAAAGAGAGAAGTTGGATGTGACCAGATTTTTAGTAGGGCTGAAGTCTGAGTATGAACCTGTAAGGGCACTGATACTAGGTGGATCTGCTCTTCCCTCTCTTGAGGAAGTGTTTACTCATCTTTGGAGAATTTCAGTTGGACCCACAGAGACTTCCACTATGTCAAATAGGTTTGCATTTGCAGTTACGAGAGGGGGAGGTCGTGGTGGTAGAGGAGGTCAGCATGGCCGTGGTAGTGGTGGTGGACCCATGTATGGTCGTGGTGATGGTGGCATGTATAATCGTGGTGGTGGTCGTGTTGGAGGTCAAGACTCAAGGGGAGCCTGTGGTAGAGGACGTGGTAATACTCAGAGAAGGTGTACTCATTGTGGTATGGAGGGACATACTATCAACTTTTGCTATTATCTACACCCACCTTCAACCTGGGCAAATCATGCAGCTATAAATGGTGGTAGCTCAAGACAAGAATCTCAAGTTACTGATCAGATCCCTACTACATTTACAGATGCTTCTAGAAAGGAGACAATGAGTGTTTCACGGGATGAGTATGAGCGGTTCATTCAGGGTACATCTCAATAGAACACGGCTACCC